TAAATAATTTGTTTGAGCCTTCTGTATGCGCTCAAATCTATCCTCTTGAAGACTTATCAACCCTTTGGCTTTTTCCATGTTAAAAATGCAAACTATCAAACAAACGACTAATTTTAAAATAAGAATCAATATAACAAAACTAAGAGGGTTGACAAATACAATAACAATAACTTAGACATAACAAGTGGCAGACAGTTGGCCGTAAACAAATTCTAAATTAACCAACAATTTCTACTCATCAACCTTGTCTAAGTCCCAAACATACAAACACAAATTTGTTTTACTGACTAGAATAGCCTAAAATATTTGAAATTGTAATAACCTTTTAAATTAACCGACTCGGAACATTTAAGTCCAGCGCAATACACTCAGACCGATACAATCCGGCTCGAAGGACCATTTGTTTGTAATCCTACAAAACTTTGTGTAAAATTGAACAAGTAAACGAACGAACGAAAAGTACAAAATACCAACAACAATGCGAACGGAGAGAACTACTACCAAAAACACCACACAGTCTCGAGCACCCGGAAAGTATATGTGTGGCGAGACATTCTTCTCAACATCGTGTGTTAATACAACACGGTCTCGCCACAGCGCCATCTGTTAGTGCGCGGCATAAACGACGCCAACAGTCATTTTTGTATAATTGCCAATTATTCAAACCCTAGTATTAACAATGTCTAGGTAAAATCCATTTATATCACAATGTCTCCGTTAATCCAGTAATCCTTGTTCAGTTTACTGTCCACTGTTTCATGAATATTTAATTAAAATTAGCATATGCATCACAATGTGATTCGTCGTGTACACTTGGCTTTATTACAAACAGCTACAATACGATTCAAACTTTAAGAACGCTCGGAATATTGGAGACGCTGCGTTGAATACAATTTTAGGAAACAGACAGCGTAGGCCCTTTTAGGGTGGGGCAGACCAAAACTGACGTTTTTGTCTACCTACATTGATTCCACTCTAGCAGTTAGCTTAGAAGAAAAGTTCTTATCTACTGGGCTGGGCTGAATTTAACGAGACTTTTACTGGATGGTAGATGAACGGGCATTATATGCTACCTTTTTTTCCGCGCAGTCAAAATGGCGGACCGCTATCTCTGGAACGGGTGGACGGATTTTGACGAGACCTTGTTTGTAATGTAGCTGGTAGAAAGTAGATGCACGCGGTTTTGTCGGCCTTTTTTTTTTCATCCGAGGTAAGGAAGGTTGTTGGCGACAGCTCGTACTATATGTATACTAAGCTTTACTGTTATTTCGATCTATGGCCATTTTTTGCATAGCAAATCCGGTCACGCCTTGGTTGGGTCAATGGCTTTACGAAATGCGAAGCTACCAAGTAAATAACAATTTTAGTTGCTTTCATTATCCAAAAATTATCCTTAAATATTTTTATCATAGACATAAATATCTTTTCTATTTTTTATTACCGACGCCACTGTTGATGCAAATATTTAAAAACAAAATACGTAGTTATTATTCGTATGAAAAATACATAAAGATTTTAATATTTTGTGACCTGTTTTAGACAATACGCTACGTAGTGTAGAAAATTCAAATTTTCGCTTTTACCTTATACTAAATACGGTCTGCGTGAAAATATAAAATTTGGATTACCTTTCTTAAATTTGTAAAACTAAAAATTTTAAAAACAGTTTTCACCTAATTCTTCTCTCTCTGTCTCTCTCTCTGTGTACGTGTGTGTAATCTCTTTGTATTCTAACATTTTACAGTTGATAGTTAATTTTAGTCTCGATAAATGTTATACTTTTATTTCCTCTACCAAATAAAGAACATCCTTGAAATAGTTTATTGTTGCAAAACAATGTAAAACAAATAATAAAATGTTTTAGATAAAAAGTAGTGGAAACTTACTTCCTTGTTAGTTTTTAAATAATAATTACTATTAACGTAGTATACTTGTCACCAGCAAATCATGGTATCAGCCAGTTTGTAATTTACTAGTGTACGTTTAGAGCGCGCGAACACCTCTGACTGAACTATCGCAATACTCTTCAGTCTCGCTTTGATTCCTATGAGCTTACGCATACTACTCGATTTCTAGTTGTGCAACTAAACAGTTGAATTGGCTGAAACCATCGACAATCGCACAATCGTGCGATATTTTAGACAAAGGTGTACGCCCGCTCTCATTGCAGAAATATAACACAATTTGTGAATGAATCTATACTATTATAATAAAGCGTAAACACTTTGTTGCCTAAGATGTCGGCAATCACAGCATATTTTCAAATAACTCTTTTTTTTATAAAAAGTCCTACACTAACGTCACGCTTTAGACTAAATATTTTCACGCCGTTAAACTTAGGGGTAAATATTTTGGATAAAAACCCTAATATGGGAAAGAGAACAAAAGTTGTTGCCAAGATCAAGGAAGCAATGTTGCCATGGTTTGACATCATGTCATGTCATTTTGATATTTGCAATTGACAAATGTGTACAATAAAATGATTTTTTTTTATAATTTCATGCGGATGAAGTCGCATGGGAACAGCTAGTTCGATATAAAATTTATCGATTTGATTTCCCTTCTCAAACAGTTTCATTTCTTAACATATAGAACATACCTAGTAGGAGTAAGATGAGCGGGTTCTGGAACTGTTCGATGTATTTCTTCCAGAGCGGATCCTCCTCCTTCACCTGGAACTCGTTGGGGCCGACAAAGTTCATACGATCGTTTGCCTCGCGCCATGATAGCCCGCGACGTACGTCCACGTGCAGGCGATCTGACACCTGGTGACAAAATACAGCATTAAAACTGGTATTCTAATTAAAACACGGTGTGTTACTAGGTCTAATATCAACCTAGACAAAACACCAAGAGACCGTAGAATTCGCTAATGTCTAGACTAGGTCTAGGTGAGGCAGCTATCATTAATATGGTATAATGCGAAGTAAGTTTTATACCTATTTGCATTCTTGGATATTCTAGGGTAGCAACTCCCTTTAGCCCTAGTGATGCCCATTGACAGTTGACAAAGAACGAAGAAAGTATGAACAAGAAATTAGATAACTATAAAAATCTATAAAAGAACGGGTTAAGGTCAAGTGAAAACCTTAGAAGTACAGAAGCCATACGTTCTATATACGAAACGTTGACAACACTTTCATATACCTTTTGTTCGAGTACATCAGTTGAGAACTATAGAAATTCCATTCAGTCAAAATCCGACGTCAACTCTTATCCTATTTTAACTATTCAATATGAGCGTCTGTGGTTCAGGGTTTAAGCAACAGACTTGTAATCTACAGGTCCTATTTGAATCCTGTGACGTACCAATGTGTTTTTTCGATTTTCAAATTTCATATGTACATGATGTCCATACAGAGAAGGAAAACATCGTGATGCAACCTGCACATATTTAAAGAAAATCAAATATATGTGTGAAATCAACCTACAGTGGGAGAACGTGGCTGACCTAGTCACCCTATCTCAAAGTAGCTCCTTAGTGGGAAAGACTTGGAGAGGTGAGCTGGTGATCAATAAGTAACTGCTTTATAAAGCCCAAGTCATCACTAACCACTAGCATATTCATGAAGCGAATACAATCATAATAAATGCTACTACAGCACTCTATTGAAATTAACTTTTCAGGCTTGAATTGGGTCAATCGTTACCGAGTCCGTACTTCAGGCATCGTATCGATCTTTACAACTAGCCTGCACGCTCTGTAATGTTCAACTAAATGTTGTAATGCAGACAATCGTATATTTTTAATTCTTAGAAGAATTAATCTATACTATCTCCTCCTAATGGAGGATGATGATTATGATTAGGTCGGCACAACAGATTTTCCTATGTAATCATACGAGACGTTGTGCCGACCCTACGAGAATAGTCTCGTAGGGTCGGCACAACAGATTTTTGTCCTCCAAATAACTCTATCATACGTTATCTCAGTCATCACTCCCTTTTTGATCATGTCACCTTTCACTCAATCTATCCATCTCTTTCTAGGTCTACATCTACTTGTGTACCCCTCCACACTAATAACTAACGTTCTCCTTGTAACACTAATACTATAAAGAGGAAAGATTGTTTTTATTAACGCTTCAAAACCACTGAACTGACTTCAATTTTTTCGCCAAAGCTTCATTAGCACTGAGTAACATAGGCTATATATTACATTAACGGGAAGGATATGGAGTTAAAATGAAAGATATGAAAAGTATATTTCTTGTTCCCAAACGGAGCCTGGGTGGTTCACTAGTCAATTAGAAACATCGGCAAGAATCGTTTAGTGTACACTATTATTGACGTTTTTTTT